TTCAATCTTAATCTAAATACATTTAATAATATACTCTCACTTTGCATCAATCATCTCTTATACTTTTTGTTCTTCTTAGTTTTAGTGCGCTTTCCGAGAGGTTTCATGTACACTGTTTCCTTCTCTCGTGTATGTATGTATCTTACTCGTGTATACGTGTCCCTTTTGCATTTAATTTTGTTTAATTTAATTTAATCGTTATGCCGCTTGTTGATTTCCTTTCATTCATGACGATAACTGTGAAATGTATAAAATATACAAGGAGCAACGTTCGCGAGTACATTTTATACACATACACATCGGTTTCGAATGCAGGTATACATGTATATATGTGTATGCATGATGTATGTATGTATGTATGTATGTATGTATGTATGTATGTATATCTCGCTCCGTTTCTTTCGAATGTTATCTCCGACGCGTGCATTGGATCTTTTCTGGCTCGTTTCTTAACTTGTTTCTCATATTTATTCCCTTTGTTCGTATATATGTATGTATTTATGTAATGTATATGATCATCGTATGTATACTTATTATACTTATATATTCATTCCTTGTCGTCGTCAATGTACAGTTAACGTTTTATATTTTATTTTTTATAATTTTTTGTTTGTTTGCTAAGGCATTCGTTATGGCAAGTATATTTTAAAAGTGCTGATGTCTAAACGCGCGTGAATACTTTATAGTTTTCTGTTTTTTTTTTTTTTCCATTTTTCGTACAGTTTATAAAAGTATATTGGCCAGTTATGTAACTACTAATTAGCCAGCTACGTGTCACTTAAAAAACGATTCGCTCGTTAGAAAAAGAACTAATCTGCTTCATATTCTTCATTTTTTTTTTCTTTTTTGCTTGTTTCTTTAGTTGTAATAGTTGTTCTTGTTCTTTTCTTTTTTTTTTTTTTTTTTTTTTTTTGTCTGTTTCTGTGATAGTTGAACTCGTCTCGCGTTTTAAATTCAATTGCGCCTTATAATTCGTGGCCACTAATTGTTTTCTTTTTTTTCTTTTTTCTTTTACTCTCTATTTTGCATGCATCTTTACTCTTTATGCTTCGTTATTCGATTATTTGCAGTTTTTTTTTTTTTTTTTTTCTTATTTTATCCTTTAGTAAAATATAATTTAAT